CCTCGTTCAGGATACATCCCTAAAGTGCCTTCTTGTGCGGCAGGGTCCACAGTGCTGCAGGCATTTCATCTTCCACCTCATGTGACAGCGGAGGACGGGAGACTTCATCTGCTCTGCCCTGTCAGAGCACTGAGTATTTACACTCTGAGGTCCTCCCGTTGGAGGAAGGCTGACCAGCTGCTAGTGTGTTTTGGGTCTCCCAGGGCCGGGCTCCCTGCATCCAAACATACTATTAGCAACTGGATTGTTCAGACTATTTCCCTGGCCTATCAGGTGCGCGGTTTGCCTTCACCTGTGGCTGTGAGGGCTCTTTCTACCAGAGGCATGGCGGCCTCTCGAGACCTCCTTTCCTGGGCCTCTTTGCAGGATGTTTGTTTAGCAGCTGGCTGGGCCACTCCGCACACATTCATTCGGTTTTACAGTCTTGACCTTCCTTCGGCACCTGGTACTCGTGCGCTCTCCTCTTAGTCGTTCCCATAGTGTCGTAACCGACGCAGTTCGAGTTCCCTCGAAGGGGAACGTCTCGGGTTACGTATGTAACCCTGGTTCCCCGAGAAGGGGAACGAGACACTGCGTCGGCCCGCCGCACCTCTCTCCCCGCCTGAAGCGCCTGCTTCATAGTTTAAGCTAATGATGAGTGTGTACAGGTGTGCTTTATACTCCTCCGGTTATTCCGTCACACCTTACCGTTCTAGCAACAAGCCAATAGGATTAGAGTGATTTCATTCACGTTCAGACCTGCTACGCCTAGAGGCGTTCCCATAGTGTCGTAACCGACGCAGTATCTCGTTCCCCTTCTCGGGGAACCAGGGTTACATACGTAACCCGAGACGTTCCTGTCAGAACACGTGCTGCAGCATTCTGGATTAGCTGAAGAGTCTTAACGGACTTTTTCGAGCAGCCTGATAATAAGGAATTGCAGTAATCCAGCCTAGAAGTAACAAATGCATGGACTACTTTTTCTGCATCATTTTTAGACATGATGTTCCTGATTTTCGCAATATTACGCAGGTGAAAAAAGGCGGTCCTTGAAATTTGCTTAATGTGAGACTTGAACGACATGTCCTGATCAAAGATAACTCCAAGATTCCTCACAGTGGTGCTGGAGGCCAGGGCGATATCATCAAGGGAAACTATATCTTTAGATAATGCGTCACGGAGGTGCTTAGGCCCCAGAACAATAACTTCAGTTTTATCTGAGTTTAACATTAGAAAATTACAGGTCATCCAGGTTTTAACATCCTGAAGGCACATTTGAAGTTTAGCTAACTGATGAGTTTCATCTGGTTTGATAGATATAACTGAGTATCATCTGCATAACAATAAAAGCTTATGGAATATTTCCTGATAATATTGCCTAAAGGAAGCATATATAAAGTGAAGAGGATTGGTCCAAGGACAGATCCTTGAGGAACTCCTTGACTAACTTTGGCATGCATGGAGGACTGTGTGTTCTCCGTTACCCTCCTGGCCTGCTCAAACGACCTCCTGGTCGGCCTCCCGAACTGTTCTGCCCCTCTGCTCTGCCCTACATGTTAGGCCAAGCGCCTTACCTGCCCTGTTTCCTGGGCATGATCTGCCTGTTGGGTGGTTCCCCCTGACTGTTTTGTTCCCTAACCCTGATTTGCCTGTTTTGTCTTCCTCCTGGACCATATGACCCCCTGCTCTGCCCTCAGGCCACCCGCCGGAGAATTCCCTGTCTAATCCCTGGCCTGTCTAGGTATTGTTTTTCTGGCCCACCTCCTGTCCTCCCTCCGCCCACCCTGGTCGGCCTGGACTTTGTTGTTTGTGCTGCGTTCGGGTCGGTCTGTCTTTTGGTTGACCATCTGGAGATGCTAGTCGGTGGGGGGGTACTGTCACGCTGTGCTGGTTGGCCATCCTTTGTGTTGCACTTTTGGGTTTGGTATCTGCCTTAGTATGTTGAGTTTTGGGTTCTGTCCTGTCTGGTGTCCAGTATCTGCCATGTAGTCTGTTGTGTTTTGAGTTCCTCTGAGTTATTGTGTGGTCAGTTCATTATCTGTTATTTAGTTAGTCTTTGATTCCATGTCATGTTCTTGGTCTTGTACGTTAGTTCATGTCTTTAGTGTTTACTCCGGGTCTTGTGTTCTCTGTTAAGCTCTGTACTGTGTTCTAGTTCTGTGTTCTCGCTTATTCACTCTGCCCCAGGTCTGCTTGTCATGTCAAGACTTTCTGTTTTCCTCTGCTCTCTCTCTCTGCCTCGTTAGTCTCATGTCTGTCACCTGTGTTGCTCCCGCCCTGCTCGTTAGTCCCTGTGTATATATACCTGGTGTTTCTGTCTTGTCTTTGTCTGGTCATTGTTCATGTTACCCCCCAGTCTGTCGTGCGTGTACTCGCTGCCTGCCTGTAACCAGCCTTGCTTGTCTTGCCTCCCTGTACTTTTGGATTTTGGATTTTGGATTTCTGTTATTCAGCCACTCATCTGTAAGTGTGCTCGCTTTTGGTTATATTAAAACCCTTTGTTGAACTATACCTGCTCCGCTCTGTGTCCTGCGTTTGGGTCCTCCAATCTGCCTCCACACCACGATCGTGACAGAAGGAAAGTCTCCATTCATCCTTTCATCATAGTTGTAAACACTCGCTTTCACCTTTGACATGAGAGTCAGGCGGGGCCGTCCAGCTCTGTGCGAGAGTGACCTGATTTCTATCACTGCGTATGCCTTTATCAGTTTTACATTTGTTTTTCAATGCTGCTCCACTCAGGTGCGCTGCATACTAATACTGATGTAACGAGGTCTCATGGAGTAAAAAGTTGGATATTTGGCTTTAAAATGTAGCGAAGTGAAAGTTGCAACAACTAAAAATACTCAAGTAAAGTACAGATACCAAAAAAAACTACCTAAGTACAGTAAGGAAGTACTTGTACTTCGTTACTTGTACTTCGTTACTTTTCACCACTGCCAGATACTAATAGGGCCGGCGATCCAGATCTAGATGTGCTCCTTTGTAGTTGCTGTACAGCGGGGATACTGCTACATGACAGTTCATCCGATCCAGATATTGATCGTGGTGTAGCGGATCTCTCCCTGTCTTCCCCATCCGCTGTTTCAGGACAACTCAAGTTGCCTTTTGAACTGTATTTCAAAAACAAATGAGTCCTTCAAAATTGTTAATGAACAAGATCAATTTACATAGTATGATCCCTCACCACCTTTGTAATGAAAAATTAATAAATACACTTTAGCTATAATCACAAATGCCATTATCACGTTGATATAGACTAAAATAATTTAATTAAATCACGTGTTTAAATAACTTCATACAGACCTTCTTGGTTGTTGAGGGGGGATTTAGGGGGGTCCAGGGGGTCCTCAGCAAAAAGGGAAATCATTTATTTTTACTATAATTCCATCCATAAGTAACATAGTGACTGAACGCATGACTATTTTGGTGATGGATTTCATACACTTTCCGGAATAAAACAACTAAAAGCCAAAATCCTATCAAATGGGCGATCCTGGGACAAAATTTTATCAAATGGCTTCTGGTGGAAGAAAGTTTTGTTAAAATTTGCTAATAATAAGTCTCGTATTTGTTCCAAATACAAATGTTATTTTATTATGTTTTTGTTAAACATGTCTGCTTAGATAATAGTGTTTTTTGTTGGTAATTGTCTTTCTTGTGGTGGTTTACTATTGAAACCAGGAGTGAAGTGCCTGTTTCATTTGATATGAATGCTGATGAAGAAAAAACTAACAAGTTTCAGTTAAATCTTTATTTAGTCAAAATGAGAACCTCCACTTGATTGTCAAAGTAGTATTACAGTTCTTACATGATACAGGGCTATATAAGAAAATTTGAAGCAACAACGTTTTCATTATAGTGACTTGCTGCGGAGGGCAGTAATACGCCTAGAAGCGTCTAAACTGCTGTAAATCAAGAAGAACTAACCAGTTAAAGAATTGTCCTGTGAAAGACTTAATTTCATGTAAACAATGATTACACTTAGAAAGACTAACAACATAGAGTTATGAAAGTAACCACTGCAAGTCAGTAAGTACTTCTAACAACAAACAGTATAAATTCACAAGCTATAATATATTAATATTGCGAATCAAATCAATGTCTGGAGCATGAAGTGGTACTCTGAAGACTATCTCTTTCCCACTACGCTATTGGATCACACTGCTTTTTGAAGTATTGTTGAAGGTGAAGTGCATTTGCCTTAAAAATTAAGCTTTTCAGCTATTGTTAGGGTCACTTGAGTTACAGCTTGAGCAGCTGGGCACATAAAAATACAGCACAGATCAACACCACAATTAGGGAAGACAATGCAAACTGAAATAGCAAATAGGAAGACAATCAAACATTATTCCTACAGTCCACTGAAACCTGGCTGCAGCTTATTTAAAAATGCAGCCATTCTTCACTCCTGGTTTCAATAATAAACCACCACAAGAAAGACAATTACCAACAAAAAACACTATTTTCTAAGCAGATACATTTAACAAATACATAAATCACAAAGTATTTGTTTTGTATTTCAAACAAATAGGAGACTTATTAGAAAAGTTTAGCAAAACTTTCTTCACTGCCATTCATCATGGGAGTCTAGCTCCGCCCCCACTGGGTTGGAAGAGGAGTCCCATAGGAACCCATTCATTTTAAAATGCATAAAAATATTAATATAAAATCAACCTTTAAAGATATCAGCAACACAAGTAATAGTGCCCATCTCATGAAGAAGATGTACAATTTCAAGTTGAAACCAAGTTTGTAGGACAAACGGTACAGATGCCAAAAAAACGGCGGAATACATGATAATGGAGGGCGAAGAGAACAAAAGTGAGTATAGGCCTTCATCCATCTTTACCATCTATATGCTATACTTGAGCCGCCGATAGTTTGATCGTGGTGTGTGTGTGTGGGGGGGGGGGGGTCTCAGTATATCTTCCTGCTTTTTTGTCCTTTGCTAATCACATGCCTGAGTGAGTCATGGCTCCCCCTCCTCTACTTTAATGTAAGGATTTAGTCAAACTCACCTTCAGTGTGTGGAGCGTCAGCAGGTTGAAGCAGTAGTGTTGTAGTTTTCCACTTTTCTCTCCTGTAGCTGAACTCAGTCAGAGGAAGTTGTTAGTTTGGTCTGAGGGTGAATCTGATCGTCAGATTTTCAGTCTGTGGGTACTTCTCAAGTCTCTTAATTGCACGTTTCCCTCACTTGCCTCTTTTCCTTGCGTATATCGGAGCTGACGCGTACACGGACAGCTGCGGACTACTTCTGTTTAAACAACTTTCTGGAGTAGATCGGTTGATGCCCTGGTAGCGTAGCGGTCATAAAAAAGGAGAGGCACGCGGACATCAGCGCAGACCCTACGCACCCGCTCTGATGACGATTTTTTATTCATGCGGAGCCTCACGTCGGCTACTGCGGAACGAATATGCCCAATCCTTGCTTTAGTTCCGCCCAGGGGATGCACGGAGAGACGCAAGGAGACCATGCGGGGAGAGAAGGAATGAGGAAATATGTGATCCAGCTGTCAGTCGGCTCTAACAGCTGGAGAGACTAATGATGGAGTTTGTGTCTGCACACATGCGCACTGTGTTGGTTCTAGGGTGACCAGACGTCACGAAAAATCCGGGACAGTCCCGAATTACAAGCAGTTGTCCCGACCCCTTTCCGGTTTGTCCCGTAAATTAGACCTAACATGAGTTTTGATTATAGCCTAATTAAACATTAAATACTGATCGTTGTGTAGTTCTCAGGCTCCAGCAGGGGTTGCAGGTTATCTGTAGCCTATATTGTGTCAACAGCGTTGTTACAGCCACAAAGTAACACTCGTCGTGCTCTTTTGCCCTTTTTGTTTTCTTGTGGTTAGTGAAAGATACAATCGCGCCTGTTGCACAGACAGACGTGACACTGCGCTGATGACATTAATAAAATAAATCAAATAATTAGGTAAACGATCACGACTTACCTATATATCCACAGTTGTGTTTTTCCTAATAACAGACAGGTGACTTGAACAAAAATAATTAATTTTAGCGTTGTGTTTTGATTTTCACTTGTATTAATGTTCATACCAGTAGCCGGTAGTTGGTACTAATAAAGTCTCACAGTTATCAGTGCAGAGCAGCATGATTCTCTCTGTAGCTGCTACCTGTTTAACAAACACCTGCACATGAATAATTAGGTTACTGAAAGTCCCGCTCAGAGACACAGGATCATTTCTACTGGCACAATGCTGTTATTATCTGTATTTATTGATTCTGATTGTAAATTCGTGATTGAATAACCGAGAATATGATCATGGTGTCTTTGGATTTATTAGGCTAAATGTTTCATGATGTGACTCATATCAAAGTCGACGCTCAACACAGGAATGACCAGCCGCTCATGTGACTGAATAGAGATGATGATAAATTATGTTAAACGTGTTTCTTGCTGACAGACTCTCTGACTCTTTCTGACTTTAATTGTCTCCATAATAAAAGTTGATGGCAGAAATAAAATAAAGAAAAATATTTGTAATTAATGAAGAAAGTTGTGTGTGAGTTCTAATCAGACCTACAGTTAACTCAGATTTTAACTAGACACTGAATCATAAAACAAATCAAACTTTGCATACACTTGAGTTTAATGTTATCTGTCCTGATGTATCAGATCAGTCAGCTGCAGCGTCCAATCAATATAACTGCTAGCCATTAAGGGGGCGTGTCCGTCAATAAAAGACTTCGCGAAGGCTGCACTGGTGTATCCTCGCTCATAGCTCCTCAGAGATCAATCCTCGCTCCTCGGAGCGCAAATAAGGTTTACTATGAGTCAATCAATCACTCACTACACATCAGACATAGGCTAAAAAAAACGGTTAAAAAGCGGACAAAAATCAATGCATCAATATTACAGACTTTTCTTTTGTGCTGCTTTTACTTATAGCTTACCTGAAGACAGCAGTGAGGACGGATGCTGCAGGGCGGGTAGTAAGTTGTACTAATGCAAATGTGCAAAATAAATAAAATGAGTCTTTGGCATCTTTTCACGTCCTTTTAAAAGTGTACTTTTACTCTTTACTCCAGTATTTTCTTTGTACCTGTAATTTAATTTCACTACATGTTGCATTCATACCGTCATAACTTAACCAGTCTGTAATCTGCGTTTTGCTTCATTAACCGAAATGAGTTGTCATCCAGGCTGTGCGCAGTTACGCAGAAGAGCGCTGTCACAGAGCCGGGCAGATGCAAACATTTAGAAAATCAGGCAAATACCTTTGAATTAAACTAATGCTTTATTGATCTAATAATACAACTGAAATCCAGTGAGCGCACACCATGACACTGGTGGCCTGCTGGAAATTCGGCCTGCATCGCTCTTTAACAAGCCGGCAAGTGAAATATTTCCATTAAAGGCGCATTAATGCACTCTCTGCAGAGCAAATGTAGACTGCACATTGTAACATGTAAGTCTGATGATCAGTGGATTGATTCTGATATATTATCAGTATCCTGTTGTTGAGCAGAGCATCGCTTTCTTTTGTTCTTTCACATGGGTTATTTGTTTTATGGCGATGTCCGACGGTGAGTCCATAAACAGAATGTGCCGGTGAAACTAATCTTGACTTGGCTGTTTATTCAGGAAACAATCATTTTTAGAGAGAGAGAGAGAGAATATGGTGGATAAAACAGGCCTGTTGTGCTTTAGGCATGATGCACAGGTCTGTATGCAGGTTTACCTGCTTCAACAAGGAGCTGCTCCATGTTACTGCCACAATAATTCTTTGCGTTTTAAAGATTATTTAGATGCTTTAGGAATAATCAGACTGTCTTAGCTGCCTGTGCTACTGCAAAGCAAGTGGTTTGGTTAGCTACAGGTCCATAATAAAAGATACAGGCAACAATAGGCAGCAAGCTGATATTTTAAAGTGATCTTATAAATAGACCTACATTCATGGAGATTTAAAAAGCAAATAAATGAATTATACAGAAAATGCTAAATTACAGATAATCAACCAGAAAAGCAAATTGCGTTCCATAGAAATAACCATGTTGTACAGTTGTTTCTAACCTGATGCACAGCAGATGAAATACCTATATTAAAAGAAGCGGGGCACGCTGACGTGTTTGCAACACATAACACACCTACGTTAGGTCTGTGAGTGTGAACAGAACTGAAGGAGGCAGATTCAATAAGTGAGTGACACTTAAGATGGATAATGAAGTATAATTAAAACGGTAAAATAAGAAACAAGCTAAGTTACTAGTGTAACCGAGCGGTTAGTTCGCCTATACTTTTTATGTGGTTACCAAAATAACAACAGGGAGGCTCCGCTGTCTGAACCAAGACGGGACATTTTTGTTCTCCCCTCGTCACTCGCACATCGTTGAACCGGAACAGGACCACGCATTACTAAAAATAAATCGGTAATGTAGAAACTTGCTTTTGAGGAAGCTGGATAACGTATAGAGCTTCTGGCACACCAGTTAAAGTATGAGGACCAGAGATGCGAGCCGTTTAACAGTTTATTGTCCTTTAAAGTTTCCCACTTCAATACTTGCCTGACAGATGATTGAACAGCTAAAAGGCAAATGAAAACAATCAGTAGACAGCAGGGGCGATTTCTAAATTTCATCTAAGCACCCCATCTATATTAGCTGTTAAGGTCAGTGGAGGTGATGCAGAGGGACAGGGTGATGATGACCTCAGTCATGTTGATGAGGAGGAGGAGGAGGAGGAGGAGGAGGAGCTGCAGGAGGAGAAGGACAATAGAACCAGAAGAAACAGTGACAGATACAGGGGCAGTGTGCAGGGCCGAGTAGGCCATCACATGTAGAGATAGAATTAGAATATGTATTATTGTTTGTCATATTTATTACATTATGTTCTTCTCATGCAATCAGAGAGTCCAGCACAGGGAAGCTGAGCCAGGGAGAGGCCTACTCAGAGCTGAAGATGAGGGAATTGATTTTTATGCAAACACACACACACAGAGCTCTATTTTATAGAACTGTGTTGCAGTTTTTGATCATATTGAGATATTTTAGGACTCTGACTGGCTGTACACATGACATATTGGTAGCAGTATACTTTAGTGTTCCAGCTCAGGCTTTGCTTAACCTGGTCTTGCTCAGTGCAGTGGTGCTTGCTTATACAAACTGAAGAGGCAGGTGGCATCTTTCTTCAGCATAATCTGATTAATTGTGTACAGTAAAACACTATTAGTATTAGAATAACTACAAACTCGCTTAAAAGTCCTTCTCCTATATTTTTAACCTTTCTATTAAAAAGAATATTTTTACCGCTGGCTGTACTTGAAATGTTTACTACACTCCCCTCCAGTAAAGCCAGTTGCAGTATGCAACGTCAGCGCAAGGGGAGCAGTTGCCAGGATGGATGATGCAGGGCTCTACAGAGTATTTCACTCGCATATCTCCCAAAAAAATAAATCCATGGTTAGTGGAAAAATGATTTATGAGCACAGTGTGCGAGTAAAGACTACAACCTACCATAATTGTTCTAAATGAATGATGGTTCTGATTATTGAAAAGTATTTGCTTAGCATTAATAAATTAGAGACCAATGTAGACTGTTTTTCTTGCACATGCATTTTATAAATGGAAACATTCCACAAAAACTTAACTGCCGTAAGAGTTGGCAGTGTGGGAAGGTCACTTTGGAAATGTAATAGGTTACAGATTACAAGTTACCCTATGTTATAGTAGCCTACTTTAACTATTTCAAGTACTCTATCAAAGTAATTTAACTTATCACATTTCACTACTTTTCAAAATTTCTAATGAATGACAGTCAAAAACAGGGTGAGGCAGTTGAAACTGAGATTAACACGAAAGATTTTGCATAGGAATGAATTAAAGGTATTTTAAAGATTTTTTTTAAAGCATATTAAGAATTCTCATAGCTTCTCAACTAGAGGCAGTGCCACAGACATAGTACCTTGTAGATTTAAGAGCTGGTCTGGGCAAAACACCTTTTTGTACACGGCAGCATTGGAATGGAACAAACTCCCAGTTGAGATTAAGTTAAGCCAGTCAGATCGCTGTTTTAATCAAGCATGTGGTGAATGGTTGTTAAATGCTAATTAGATTTAGTTTTTATATAGTCTTAAGGAATACTTATTATTGTAATGCATGTATTTGTGTTTATTTTATTGGTATTTGGATTTTGTGATGGCACCTGTGTGATCCAGTGAGGCATCACTCTGTGGGAGTGATACCTCACCATTATTAATTCTTTGTTCTGTTGAGGTGATTGCTGATCGGGTGCACCTTGGACCTGTAAGCCAGGGGATAAAGCTCAACTTGGTCAAACTACTTTCTCTTCTGCCTTCTCTGCAATCCAGACGTCAACCATGGCCTGACCACCCCTACTGCCACGTCGTGCTTTGAGTTATTTATGTTACAGCGACACACCTTGTACATTTAAATAGTTTAGTTTAGTTCACTCTTTTGTTAAATAAATCACTTTTGGTCATTTATGCTCCCTCGTTCCCTCTTTTGCCATGACCCTTGAGCCAGGTTGTGACAATGGCCCTCATTTATGAAAAGTGCGTACACCAAATTTCCAGCGTACACCTGGCGTACACCCAAAACCACGGTGACTTTGAGATTTATCAGTGTGGACGTTGGCGTACGGCACGCTCACCTCCTACGCCAGCTCAGGAGGTGTTGTACATGTACGCAGGTTTTGAGTTAGAGCCGAAATGCGCAGAAAAACAATTCACAACACCACAAAACGCACTGACAAACTAAAATATGATATATCATGACCCACTGTAACAGAAACAACGTTTGAAACATTAATTTTGGTGTTTATATTTGAGCAACACGGACTTTATACAGCCTAGATAATATTTGAGCTTTCAAAACATGCTTTGATTTGTATTTGGACTATTTTATCGTAGCTTTAGTTGCCTTTTATTTGGGTTTGCTGTTAATAAAATGTGTACCTTCAAATGAAAAGGCTATGAGCAAAAAATGTTGTAAGGTAATAAATACTGCGTACAAACAACATAGAACATGAGCGGATGGCTTGAAGCGCTGAGACTGGCTGCCGAAATGGACACAGCCGCACGCCCTTTAGGTGAGGCTGGCACAGACATGTCGCGCACAAAGCCCTGCATTTATTATAAGACAAACTTTATATTATGACAGCAACAGCGAGCACCACGCTGATCCCGGTTCATGTGAGAGTCCTGGGTCAGTGTGTAAAGCCCAGTCCCGGAGGTGATGGAGCAGCTTTTTTTTATCAGAGCAACATACTTTCGTTTGGAGCTTATTTGGGACTTAACTTTGACGGGCGTTTTAGCAGTGCTAAATCTATCTCTTGGAGCACCACAAGTAGCCAATTTATAATTCTTGGAACAGACAAAAACTTCTACTTTGCACGGAACGCGCTCCACAAACGGGTGGTACAGACGTGGTGCAGCTCATCATTGTGTTTGTACAATGTTTCACTCTGAACATAAAAGAAAAGTGACAGTGAGCACTCACCGAGGATGGTCAGATCCAAGTCCGTGCGCGTCCAGACCCGTGTCCGTGCGTAATAGTCCCAGGACAGCACACAGCACTGTTTCCCAAAGCCACAAAACATTATGAAAGCTTGCTTTGCACGCTGGGGGTACACCGCCCCGTATCTGCCCGTGCCCTGCTCCTCCGGGATGAGCGCATCCTCCTCTGGGGCTGAGCGCGCGGTTGTCCCCCTGACTCCAGCACTGGCTCTCCGGCTGGACCTGAACTGTTTATGGCTCATCTGACTGCTCGTGTCCAGTTTTAAGCGCGTTGAACTTTTTGTCAAAAATGTGTCCAGTTTAAATCATCGAATAAAAAAGTATTAAATTGTTTCCAAAAGACAAATCTCGTAATATTAAAATGCACAATATTTTTGAACATTTTTGCCGGGAATGGGCTCTAGTAGTGAAACTAAACTTTATTTATTATTATTTAACTTTTTTTATTTAATCGTTATTTAAATCTGTCAAAACAACATAATATTTTGTTTCTTAAGTTTTAATTTGTGGATTTCCTGCTCCAAACCATGTACGTATTCCGTCAGTCCCTGCCGTGGGCGCGGCCTCCTGAAGCTTCCATAATTGGGGGCGTTTCATTTAAATTACGCACGTTTTCAGCCGCCGCATTTATCAACACCTGAAACGCCAGGGTACACTCTCACTGATAAATCAGGCGCTGAGAACAGTGTAAGCATAATCTCACGCACAAAAATACGCCCGTTTCTACGCAAGATTGATAAATGAGGGCTAATGGGTCTTTTTTTTTCTTTTATTGTAAGGGTTGATTGAACAGGGTACCTTTACTTATCTGTAGCTTGCCTTGCCATCTTTATCAGACTACAACGAGGACCACAATGGAAATAAATTTGCATCTTGTTATGCATTTATTTTTAAATCAAAAAAAAAAAAAAATCTAAATGTTTTTTCAACTGTTAACCATTTTCAAAAGACAGCTTGAGAGGCAGTTTAAGTGGCAGATGGTGGTGCTGCAAATTCAGACAGAGAACCAATCAGAAGCATCACAACAGCATCAAACTTTACTAAACAGCTGTGGCTGGAACTGACTTCACTTTCACTTTTTGAAAGCATTTGTTAAAAACGTTCTGAAAAATAGCTTGCACCAAATGTTAACTAACAAATGAAAATGCTTTGGGAAAAAGCTGATTTGCACAATAAGAAAACATGCAATGTAATATAGTTTTCCCTCATATAAAAAAGACATTTCCACCATAAACTGGAGCGGAAATGTCTCCAGAATGCAGGAAATTACCAGTTTAATGCTCAAAATCTTCTGCATATTTTCTTATCACATATTTCATCTAAATAGTGCTACAAATCTTCTTGTCTTGTTCTTGCGCATCGTTACGACTCAGATGTATCATCATTTCCCTAAATCTGAGCCCTTTTGTCCCCACCACTTTTCAACCACCAATTCTCCACCTATTAGAGAACACTTTTGCAAGGCATTGTATGCATGCTACATTCTCATTAGGAGCTGAACACCCTAGAATGAGTCTAGAATCGGCCCTGGTTCTGGGTATGCGGCACATTTTTTTTTTTATTCCACTTTCTCCTGACCGTGAGTTCCCACTTGGCCAGTTCTGATGATGTCAAAGATTTTTCATTCGCTTTTCTTGGCTGGAGGAAAGTTTGTTCTGCAAACTGGAAGCAAGGCTGAGCGGCTGCACCATGTTCAGGTCTTTTTATACATCCACGTGTTTACATCGCTGTGCAGCTCTTTATCAGTGGTGTTGAAGTTAACGTGTGGATTTGTGGTGTTTCAGTTAGTTTTGGTTTCCACCTCCTTGTCTCATTCTTGTATCCAAAGTCCCAATCGGGGTTCTGGATCTGGACTAATCCCCCCACTTATAGGAAATATCCACTTGTCCTCTCAGTTGTCCTTTTTGTGATTCACTTTAACTTATAATGCTGTGTTCAAACGTGTCTTGAGTGAATTTAAAAAGATAGATTGCTTTTTGTAAGATCAATAGATTTTGGTGTGTAGTACTTGTTACTTTTGATTACTTAAGTATTTTTAAAACCAGGTACTTTTTTTACTTTGCTTGAGTAGGTTTAGACTGTATAACTTATAATTTTAGTTGAGTAACATTTTTCGTGTGGTATCTGTACTTTTACTTAAGTATGAAAATTGAGTACTTCTTCCACCACTGAGTAATGTACAGTTTATACCACTTAAGTCTTTACTTGTGTCTCATTAAATCAGTCGAACACTCAGTACTGTCCAACTTATTTCTGTGGATACAGTATTTGTATATGCAAATTACCGCGTAACTCGTTATCAACTGGTACTGCTAACAATGACTACCAGCATTCATCTTGGTTTTTCAGCTTAAAATCTGTTGTATGCTGGAACGTGGTCAACTCGGGTGTGACGTCATTTCCAGCTCCGACTTCAGAGGTAAATGAAACGTTGCCAGGTAAGGTAAATATCAGCACACATGTAAAGCTGATAATAATAACAATTAAAATTCAGAAAGTAATTTACTATGTAAATGTGTATTAATTTAACATTTATACCATTAAATTACTATATCTTAATGTTAGTTATTAACGGTTGTCAGATAATTAGCTAAAGAAAGAGTTGAAGATTTTTCTCCTTTAACCTGCTTTTCATGAATTTTTTTTAGCCATGGTGTGAAGATTTAACGGTTATTAAATACTTTTAAGTAAATGTTAGCAATGGAATTGTGAACAGGTTAGCATGCTTATGATAGCATTTAGCTCACAGCAGGATTAAGATGCGTGTGCATGTGTGTGAGCTATCTGCTGACATGCGGCTGTGAATGTAAGAGCAGAGCGCCACCTACAGGCAGTGACGGTGTCATTGAAATGGGTCCCGGTTCTCCTGCTACTGCTCAAATACAAATACAAACTGAAACCCAACTCATCTATAAATTGATCAACTCAAACACAAGCTTTCTATTTCAGCTTTTTAATTGTGGGGTATATATAAAAGATTTACCTGCTTCAAAACACCAAATCAAAGCAGATATATGTGTTTTCTGACAGTGAAAACAGATTTCTACAGAGGGATCAAAATTACAGATAAATAAACATTAAAAATACTTTCGTGCATGAATATTCATCCTCTTTAACAGGAAATGTCAATGGTAAAAAGTGCATTTACTCAAGTAGACCTACTGTACTTAAGTACAATTTTTAGGAACTTGTAGTTTACAGGAGTATTTCCTTTGTCTGGTACTCCATATTTCTCCTCCACTACATTTCAGGGAAGAATATTGTACTTTTTACTGCACTACATGTTTTTGATAACTTCAGTCACTTTGCAGATTCAGATTAATAACACAAAACATAATCAACTACTAAATGATGATGTATATAAAGTCATTAAAATTAGCCCCACCTTTACCAGCCGCAACATTAATGCATCAATTATTATAATCCAATAGTATATAATATTCTGAGTCATTCTGCATAATGAGTGCTTTAAGTACAGTTTGCTGCAAATGTTTTTTGTAAATTTAGCTGACGTTTTTATCCAAAGCGACTTACAATTGCTCTGGAGCAACTAGGGGTCTTGCTCAGGGACACAATGGTGGATGTCTCACAGTGGGAATTGAACCCAGGTCCCCGACACCAAAAGCAAATCTTATCTATGCGCCACCACCACCACATGTAAAAATGTTAAATGCAGTCTTTACTTAAATTTCTACACTGTGGTGCTGCTATTTTAACTTAAGTTCAGCAAATCACATCATTAGAGTTCACCAAAGTTAGTGACTGTTTCAGCTGATTGTGGTGTAAATACACCTGTACCTGGTGAGTTAGTATCGTGCCAGAATGTCTACCTTGAAGACAAAGAAACACTCTGAACAACTCTGTGAAATAACTTCATGGGAGAAACTTTCCAAGTCACTGAACAGCCCCTGGAGTTAATTTGATCATTCGGAGATTCAAAGTGAAATAATTTTATATATTATTCAAGAGAATTGAACTCAGAATTGAATTCAGAATAGTATTTTTCCAGGGTTATCGGCGCTGACTGGTGACAACGCCGCTGTTGTGAAGAGACGCTTTATGAAATAAAAGTGTAATTCTGAAAAGTTATGAAATAAACAAATATCACACATGTAATTAATTAATCCTCATCAGCTTCCACAAAGTGGTTGCTGGTCTTCATGGCTCCACACACACAAGTCAAAATAATAATACACACACTGTACAAACAGGGCCAGAAGGACACATTGATAATACGACAATAATGAGACAGCAGGAGGACAGGTGCAGCTTAACAGGTTAAATTCAGAGACTTTTCCCTTTAAGAAATCAACAACATCATGAATATAATCATCCTCTTTATCTCTAACTGCTCTGTTCCACTGTCACACAGACCTTCACTGCTGACAGCTTCAACTCATCTAAAGTGTGAATGGATGGAAACATCCTCTCAGTGAAAGTGTGTGTGAAGGTGTGTATGTGTGTGTTAGTATCAGGATCAGAGAACGACAGCTTTCCTCTGTTCCAGTCCAGATTCACTCTGATCCTCTGGGGCTTCTTCTGAACTCTGAGATCAGTGGGTGAAGCTGATGGTGTCCATGTTAAGTATTTATCTATAAAGAACCATAATCCCCATAATCCAGACCCTATGTTGTCTCCCTTTCTTTGAACAGACTCTGCTAACACACCCAGTGACCAGTCTGTATTGTCTCCAACCTCGACATCCCAGCTGTGAGTCCCTGAGTTAAAGCCCTCAGAGCCCAGAATAGAGTAGTAATAATCAAACCTCTCTGGATTGTCAGGAAGCTGCTGTCTCTCTCCTCCTCGTCTCACACTGGTCAGATCTTCAGACAGGATGAGTCTTGGACCAGCAGTGTTTGGGTCCAGAATCACAGGAGTGTAGGAGACCATGTCCTTCATCTTGTTCCAGATGTTGAAGGTCAGGTTGCCCAGGTGTTTGGCCTGGTCTATCAGAGCTCCTGAGGGCAGCTGTGGATCATCCAGCAGGGGGCGCTGCTGGACTCTTTCCACTGCAGCCTTGTAGTTGAGCAGGAATGAGACGTCTTCAGCTCTCAGCTCCTCCTCTGTGGCTCTGACTGTGTCTGAAAGAGCTGCTATCTCTCTGCTCAGAGCCTCCATCTTCTCCTTCATCATCTGACTCTTCTGCTCCTCTTCCTCCCATAGTGCCACCAACCTGGTCACCTCTTCCTCCTCTAGAAACTGCTGAAGCTTCTTAAACTGCTCCTTAATCTGCCTCTCTGTGTGTCGGGCCTGGACCTTCACGTGTTCTGCTGTTTGATCAAACTTCACTTTAACTTGTTCACAAACCTTTAACTTCTCCTTTAAGGGCTCCAGAGTTTCCTGAAGTTCCTTCTTGTGTTGTCGTGCAGCTTCATCGATGGGTCTGAATCTGTGGTTGCTGTGTTTTTCTGAATCTCTGCAGACGACACACACTGGCTGCTGATGGTCCTGACAGAAGAGTTTGATTTTCTCAGAGTGCAGACTGCAGAGAGCCTCTGAAGCTCTCTGATCTCTCTCCTGTAAAAAGGCCTCACACAGGTTCTTTAACGCCAGGTTACGAGGTGGTTCTGACCTTGAAGATCTTCTGTTACAAACTGGACACTCAGGTGCTTGTTTCTGTCTCCACCAGCTCTTCAGACAGACTTTACAGAAGCTGTGGCTACATGACAGAACAACAGGATCTCTGAAGACCTCATGACAGACCGGACAGCAGAGATCCTCCTCTGATCTGGAAGCCATTTTGTCTCTGAAGCTGAAACCCCAGCAGACAGAAAGTACAGTCAGTCATGGCTCCCCTCCCCTCCTACTTTAATGTTATGTTTTTAGTCAAACTCACCTTCAGTGTGTGGAGCGTCAGCAGGTTGAAGCAGCAGTGTTGTAGTTTTCCACTTTTCTCTTCTGTAGCTGAACTCACTCAGAGGAATTTGTGAGTTTGGTCTGAAGGTGAATCTGATCATCTGGTTTTCACTCTGTGTCTCTCTGTAGTGAGGAAGGATAAGATGCTGTTTCCTGGTTTGTCTCAGGTGAGTCAGGTGAGGGGTTGAGCTTTGTCAGACCTTTGATAAAAGCTGTTGCTTCACCTGTAACAGGGTGTGTTTCAGTCCAAAGTACTGATTTATTGCTGGAAATGTAGACTGACTGTGTGCAGCAGGCTGCTCTAAAAGCTGTTTGTGGAAGCTAATAGAAAATGATGAATGATGAATAATGAATAAAGCCTCAGCCGGGTGTTCAGCATGGATGTGTTACTAGAACTTGATACCAGACCCCAAGACGGCGTCTATCCAGCCCAATTAGAAATGCTCACCTGGCCCAAAAGCCAAAAAAATCTTTCTAACTTCCAGGTTTACTTCCGGGTTATGTGGCCCACTGAATATGTGCAGTAATGTTTCTCCTACTTTCCCCTGACCATGAAATAATTTGATTTACTATTCATACTAAACTCATTCATAATTGTATTTTTTTCAGTGTTATCTGTGGTGACTGGTGACAGCATCTCTGATGTGAAAAGACACATTTAGTCATAAAAGTGTCATTCAAACATACAAAAAGAGATATATTAAGAAAGAATCAGAATTTTTGAAGTATTTTGTTGTTCAACAATAAACATAGTAGGTAGAAAATACACTGCAGTGTAGAGCTGACCAAGTTTGATTACAAAAAGATTAGTTACTCTCCTAACTCCTCAAGTCTAACCACCTCTCGACTATCCTCATGAACCAAAACCATCTCCTAGAATCCAAAGATTTTTACCCCCTTTTTTCTATTATCATGTATAATATGTACAGTCGCAGAAGAATGTATGTGAACCCTTTGGAATTGCCTTGATTTCTGCACAAATTGGTCATCAATCTGATTTGATCTTCATCTATCTCACAACAACAGACAAACACAGTCTGCTTAAACCAATACCACACAAACAATTATGTGTTTTTATTTTATTTTACTAACGACCTCCTTATTGCATCAGACAAAGGACTTGTCCCTGTACTGGTTTTATTAGATCTTAGTGCTGCATTTGATACCATTGACCATCAGATCCTATTGCAGAGACTGGAATATTTCATTGGCATTAAAGGAACCGCTCTAAGCTGGTTTAAGTCCTATTTATCAGATTGATTTCAGTTTGTACATGTTAACGATGAGTCCTCCATGCACGCCTAAGTTAGTCATGGAGTTCCTCAAGGATCTGTCCTCGGACCAATCCTCTTCACTTTATATATGCTTCCTTTAGGCAACATTATCAGGAAATATTCCATAAGCTTTCATTGTTATGCAGATGATACTCAGTTATATCTATCGATCAAACCAGATCTTGGAGTTATCTTTGATCAGGACATGTCGTTTAAGTCTCACATTAAGAAAATATCAAGGACCGCCTTTTTTCACCTACGTAATATTTCGAAAATCAGGAACATCCTGTCTAAAAATGATGCAGAAAAACTAGTCCATGCATTTGTTACTTCTAGGCTGGATTACTGCAATTCCTTATTATCAGGCTGAAAAAGTCCGTTAAGACTCTTAAGCTGGTCCAGAATGCTGCAGCACCTGTTCTGGCAGGAACCAGGAAAAGAGATCACATTTCTCCTGTTTTTAGCTTTTCTGCATTGGCTTCCAGTAAAATCCAGAATAGAATTTAAAATCATTCTTCTTACCTACAAAGTTCTTAATAGTCAGGCGGCTATGGCTCAGGAGGTAGAGTGGGTTGGCCGTTAATCGGAAGGTCGGCGGTTCAATCCCTGGCTCCCCCTAGTTGCGTGTCGAAGTGTCCAATGTATGAATGAGTGTGAATGTTAGTTTCCGTTTGAGCACTTAGGCTCGGTGGTGACTGGTGAATGCAGATGTAGTGTAAAAGCGCTTTGAGTGGTCGAAAAGACTAGAAAGGCGCTATACAAGTACAAAGCATTTACATTTACCATCTTATCTTAAAGAGCTCATAGTACCTTACTACCCCACCAGAGCACTGCGCTCCCAGAATGCAGGGTTACTTGTGGTTCCTAGAGTCTCCAAAAGTAGACTAGGAGCCAGAGCGTTCAGCTATCAAGCTCCTCTCCTGTGGAACCAGGTTCCAGTTTGGGTTCAGGAGGCAGACACCATCTCCACATTTATCTATCTCTTTGATAAAGCTTATAGTTAGGGCTGGCTCAGGTGAGTCCTGAACCATCCCTTAGTTATGCTGCTATAGGCCTAGACTGCCGGGGGATTTCCCATGATGCACTGAGCTCCTCTCTCCTCTACTTTCTCTCCCTCTGTATGCAAACTCATCCCATTATTGCATATTACTAACACAACTTCTCCCCTTTCTGGTAGTCTTGTGCTTTCTCGTCTCTCTCCTCTCTCCTCCTGTCACTTCCTGCAGGTGTTTCTGGCTCTGGAGCTGTGGAGTCTGGATCTGTGGTTGCGGGTCACCTGCTGCCCCCGTGTTCCTGCTCGACACCCTCTGCTACAACGACTATTGTTACTAGTCCTATTGTTATTATTGTTATTATAATCATTAACATTACGACTGTTACCATTAACACTACTATAAATATCTGTACCATCTGTGCATCTGTGTCTATAGCAACATCACCTTTACTGTCTGTACCTCTGTGTGTATATTGTGTAGGCTGCCTCCCTCCCCTCTCTCTCTCTCCTTACATCCCTCTCTTTTTCTCTCTCTTCCTCTCCTGCCCTCTCTCTCTCTCTCTCTCTCGCTCTCTCTCTCTCCCTCTCTCTCCTTCACCCCAACCGGTCGAGGCAGATGGCCGCCCACCCTGAGCCATGGTTCTGCTCGAGGTTTCTGCCTCTTAAAGGAAGTTTTTCCTTGTCTCTGTCTCCTAGTGCTGCTCTTGGTGGGAACTGTTGGGCCTCTGTAAATAACCTCATAGAGTACGGTCTAGACCTGCTCTTTTATGAAAAGCGCTGTGAGATAACTGTTGATGTGATTTGGCGCTATATAAATAAAATTGAATTGAATTGAACTGAATTGAATAGAAATTGAGAGTATGATACTTTGTCATTTCCAGCCACAGCTGTTTAGTGGTAGTATTAAGTTTGATGCTATTCTGATGCTTTCGATTGGTTCTCATGTTTGAATTTGCAGCGTCACCCGTCTGCCAGTTAAACTGCCTCTCAAGCTGTCTTTGAAAATGGTTAACAGCTGAAAACGTTCATTAGAAATGTAATAAAAAAGTAATTAAATGTAATGAGTTACATTACTTTGAAAAGTAATTGAATAGTTACACTACTATTACATTTTTAATAGGGTAACTTGTAATCCATAACCTATTACATTTCCAAAGTACACTGAATATACTATGTTTATTGTTACGCCCCAAAATACCAAAGCAAATTCCTTGTGTGTATAAACCTACTTGTCAATAAAGCAGGTTTTGATAAATTTAGTCTTAATGAAATTGTCTTTTTTTAATTTTACAGTTTTCAACACTGGAATTCCCGAGTGCCCCTGAAGCGACCAACACAACTCCTCCAGTGTTTTAAGGTAACAGATGTGTTTCCCAGCTGCTGACCTTTAAACACTACAACACACAGGTTAAACAGAGCAGCAAAGGCAGAGAGCAGAACTGTAAGATACTTCCTTACAGCTGTTATTCTGTCTTTACAAAATGGTTTGTAAAAATCTTTTGTAAAAATGCAAAAATCTTGTATGTTAAAACCTACTTGGCAATAAATTATTTGACTGTGAGCTTATTGTTTTGGGTGAGAAAACCTGGCTGTTATCTTGGAGCAGCCTCTCCGTAGTTCTTTACATTTGTGGTTGTGAGCTCTTGTGGATGATGCTGGCTAAGAGAACTCTATTTTAGTTGTGTTAGCTAACACGTTAAAAAATGCAATAGTAAATCAGTGAATTATAGGAGTAGCCTACCCTGTCTTGTCTTCTTCCCTATTTTCCACTGGCATTGATTCTAGTTTTCATTCTGATAGCTAGTTAGGCTGTGTGAGATCAGTAATTCACTTGAAAGATATTTAATTAGTTAAATGGTTTGGTTAGGGGTTGACAGAAAATAATTGTGACTAATGGACTAATTGAAAATATAATTGACAGATTAGTCGACTACGAAAATAATCATTAGTTGCAGCCCTACTATTTTCCCTCAGGGCCGCCCATGAGGGGGGAAAAAGGGAAAATATTCAGGGGCCCAGCTGCTAGGGGGGCCCATGCAGTTCAGCACTAATGATGTTCACCGCATGGCACCGCATGCCATGTAAGTGTTTATGTAGGAGACAGAGAGAGCACAGCATGCGTTGACATGACTAAAGCAGATTTCCGGAGGGCCCATTTACTGGACCTTTTCAGGGGCCCAGTCATTTCTGTGGGCAGGCCTGTTTTCCCTGCTACTAAATATAGACGGTTGTGTTGTTCACTCTCTCGGTCAGCTCATTCAGTTAAATTCAGTTACCTTTATCGGCATAATATTTTAGTTCAAACATGTTGCCAAAGCACAAAGCCACATATAAATAATAAAATATAAATTACAAAATGAGAGAAAAAAACTAAAAACATATAACAAATATATCTTACATTGAAAATATGTCTTTCTTTTTTAAAATGCGGTAATATTTCTCCTGCCAAGAAACACTTATTAAAATAACAAACAATAATAATGATTTATTTTCTATATCAGTCTGACTTTCCACTGGTTGTTCTCAGTTCGTGTCATGAGGAGATAAATGTTCTCCCAGTAATTCGGGAGTTTCTGTGAGTCTGATTTAGATGGAGTTCAAGATATATTTGGGAAATATTTTCCTGGTAAAGTTTAGTATTTAGGACATGTTTGCTCTCATCATCTGCGGTGTATTAATGTGAAAATTGTCTGTATTATATTTTACAGATATGGGTTTGCTAACTGAATTTGCCGACATTGATGACAGTGAGGTGGTGGATGTCCTGCAGGCATTACAACTACTATGTGTGAGTATTAAATGTGGAGCTTTTTGTGTTTGCGT